CCCCAAAACCCCAAAACCCCAAAACCCCAAAAACGAAGATATGTAATAATATCGTAAATATTAAAGAAGAAATGAAAAGTTTTGGAAGTTTAAGAGCAAATCCATTTTCAAGGGTAGGTACACTCCCAGAGGTCTAGAAATAAGATTTTATGCAAAAATGATGCCCTAAAGTTTTAAATAGTCACATTTCGGGCTAGATTAATAATTCGAAGAATCCTGTCATTCCTTCTTCTCAATTGAAAAAGAGTTATTTAGACTTATAGAATAACAGGAATCAAACTCAAACACAGAAACGATTACCAAGCCAGTGTGAAAACTGAATTCAAGCTCTCAGGCAGATTATTGCTTGAGACAACTGATTCTCAACTCTTGGACATAACTTAGTGAAGATGCTAATGTCCCAGCTGAGCCGCTCATTTGACCCCTGAAATGCTCCTAAAATGAGAAAGAATTCTGGTTCAGAGTACAATCCTACTCAGGCTACTTTTGATCATAATAGAGAGCCAAGCAAACTTAAGCTAATTAAACTCGGCACAAGCCAGGCAGAAGAGAATCTTGAAATCTCGACTGTAGATAAGTATGAGACTCTTAAGGTTGTTCCTTCCCCATTTGGAAATTCTGAAATCCTTGACATTGATAGATCTTTCATGTCTATTGATGACTTGAGTGCAAAAACTACTAGTTTTCGTCCAACTAAGAGTCTAAACCTAGATGCCGAGAAAATTCATAGAGTAAAGAAGAATTCAGCCTTTGGGAAACACAAATATAAGCTCAGAGTTGTTAACCAGATCATGAAGAAGCGTAGTAAAAAGTGAGTCTTTTTTAGTTTACTCCAGCTATAATTATAAATAACTAAAGGCTAGGGTAACTTCATAAAACCCTGTACCTATTAGATTCCCAAATAAAACTCGGCTGGGTACTAGCTGTCTTACAAGGATCCTATACCCCTGTTTGCTTCAAACAGTATTTAGCTAATTCCAACTGGGCAAGACCTTTATGAATTTCTTCTTCAGCTTACTCAGGCTAAATTTTCAAAATAATTTATTCAGCCTAATACTGATTCTAGATCTTTATTATCAAAGAAACAAGCGATTAAGAAATCAATAGGGCTCCTCAAGCAAGGCTTGATGAAGAAGTTACTGACTGGTTCTAATGACTCAACAAACAAACAAAAGAACTTGCTGGTTCTTGCGAATAAATCTAAGAAGAAAACTGATTCAAATGTCTTATCTAAAAATATAGTCCAGGCTAAGGATGTTTTGGAGCTCAAGAAAAATGAGGTAAGAGCTTAGTTACTCAGGTTTAACCCCAGAAGGATAGTCTTCAAGAAGCCCAACGTGATGATAGGATGATTAGTATTGATACTTCTAAAGATAGAGACTCTAGTTCCGTTTCAGAAGATTAAATACCGAAAAACTACACATCTAATGCTGTTATTTAAAAAAATTATCTGAATTCTTTGTTTTCAAACTCTCTTGTGTTGAGTTCAGCTCAAAGTTACTCAGTTTCTTAAGGTTATAAAACTATTTAGCATAGCTTTCAATATTTATGTTGTAAACCGGGGTTTTGGGGTTTTGGGGTTTTGGGGTTTTGGGG